CTAGGATACCCTGGTTTAGGTTCTCATTACCTCTCACTTTTACCCTTGTAACAGCCTATTAATTGGTCTCCTTTCTTCAAGTCTTTCTCCACTCTATCCTAAAGCATGAATCTGTCCATGTCATTACCCTACTCAGTAAACTCCAGTCTCTGTTATTTCTAGGATCAAATAAAAACTTCTCTTTTTGGTGGTTTAAGGCTTCTACAAGCTGGCCCCAAGCTACCATTTCAGCCTTATTACACATGACTCTCCTTCACACACTCTCTGTTCCAGGCTAACTGGCCTTTGTACTTTTCTTCATGTGCAGTAGTCCATCTCCGGTCTCACTGCCTTTGGATTAGTTGGAATTCACTGCTTCTTCTCTCACCCTTGTAGAATCCCTAGTTTCCTTCAAGGCCATTTCAAGTGCCACCTTCCATATGAAACCCTTTCTAGTCTACTCAGTTCCCCACCATTATCTTGTCTCAATTTTGCCTGTATGTGTGTGTGTGTGTGTGTGTGTATATGTGTATACAGTCTAGGCTAGACTGTACATTCCTCAAAGGCAAGAACCGTTCCCCTTTTGTCTCTGTTCCCAGTGCCTAGAACCATGCCTTCTGAAGAGCTGAAGCTTAATGAATGTTTGTTGATTGGCTGATTGACAGCATCCTGTGGAACACAAGTATTCTGTGCCATGGGAGTAGTGATTCTGAGACAATTTCAATGCTAAGGAGCCACCTACAGGGGGATCCTTCTTTTCAATTCGGCAGAAAAGTCTTCTGAGGTTTTGGGGTCTGTGCTATGTCATGAGACCTCTTTTCCCTGAACTGGACCCCAAATCCCACTTCAGGCTCACTGGAGTTCTTGTAGCCCAGGATAAAATATTATCTCCATTGTCATCCAAAGGGAGTCAGGAGCTCCTGCCCAAGGGAGTGAGTTGGTAGGGGGATGGTAAACAAAAGCAACTGGGACTGAAGACTACTTTATATGCTAGTTTTTGCTGAAAATTTTTAGGAGAGTAAATACTTTATTTTCAAATCTAATGGTCTTTTCCCAGTCCTCATTCTTCTTTTCCTTCTTTATGTACTATTTGAGTGGGTGCTTTATAAGCGTTTCTTGAATTGAACATCCATCCCTCATTATTGTTTGACACTGAACACATACTCCTTTAAGCTCCTTCCCTTGATCTCTATGACTCATTGTCTTGATCCTTTTCCCGCCTCTTTGACTTCCTTTACTGGCTTCTTGACTCTTCCTTCCTGACCTTTGACAGTGGGTGTTTCTCCAGAGTTTAGTTCTTGGTCCTCTGTTCTTTTCACTTTATATTTAATCCACTAAAATCTTCAAATATTACTCTGTGAATATTTCCCAAATCTCATTATCTCTATCTCTCGCCCTCTTCCCATAGACTTTTAGAGGTGGAAGGGGCCTTAGAGATGACCATCTAGCCCTGTCATTTTATAGATAAGGAAACAGTAAAATTATTTGCCCAAAGTCATTCAGCCTCTTAGTTAGGCAGAGCCAGGATTGGAACCCTGATTTTCTGATTCCTGTCATTCCTATATTGCATCATCTCAAGATTGATAAGAGGGTAGCATGGTATAAAGGAAAAGAATGAGATTTAGAGCAAGATGACTAGGTCTGATGCCTGATCTCAGCTCTGCCGTAAACTACCTGTGATTTTGGACAAGTCATTTAATAGCCTTTGTGGTCTTTGTGATTCTCCCCTGTAAAAGGAGGAACTAGACCAAAATCAGGAATTTTTCATCTGGGGTCTGCGAATTTTTTTTTCTTTTTTTAGAGATAGTTTAACAATTAGAAGAGAAGTACATCATATGCTTTTCACAGCTATGGGTAGGAGATATAGTTTTAATTAAACAATGGAGAGAGGCAATTACAAAAGATAAAACAGATAAATTTGATTACATGAAACTGAAAAACTTTTGCACAAACAAAATTAATGTACCTAGGGTAAGAAGGGAATAGTTGAATGGGAAAAAAAAACTTTGTATCAAATTTTTTTATAAGAGTTTGGTATACAAGATATATAAACAATGAACATATATATATATGTATATATATCTCAATATATCAGTCAATAAACATTTATTAAGTACCTACCAAATGCCAGGCACAGTGCTAAGTGCTATATTTCTATCTCTAGGTCTCTATCTCTATCTGACTAAAAGCCATTCTTCAATAGATAAGTGATAAAGAATGTGAAAAACAGTTCTCAAAAGAATCCTAAACTGTTAAAAACCACATGAAAGAGTGCTCCAAATTATTAATAGTAAGAGAAATGCAAATCAAAACAATCCTAAGTTTTATCTCATTCCCTGAAAATTGGAGAAGATGAAAAAAAATGGGAATATTCATTGTTGAAGCGATTGTGGGAATATAAGCTATTGCATCAATACTTTGTTGGTAAAACTGTGAGTTAGTACTACTATTTTGGAAAGCAGTTTGGAATTATGCAAATATGATGACTAAAATGATCATATTCTTTGACTCAGAGGTTCCATTTCTAGGCTTAACCTTCCAAGGTATTCATAGCAGCACTTTTTCTGACAGCAAAAACTTGAAAACCAAAGTAAATGCCTATTGATTAGTGGCGAATGGTTAAGCAAATTGTGGTACATGAATGTAATAAAGTATTACTGTGTTGTAACAAGTGACGGATATGATTCATACTGAGAAGCATGGAAAGATCTACATTAATTGATTCAGAGTGAACCACAAAAAATTAAAAAAAAGAATTTTTAAAAAGCATGTCTTCATAGAAGAGATATGAGAAGATACTCACTCTACTCCATTGCACCAATGGAAGGTTCACAAGTGTGGTACATTGCACATATTTTCATACTTTTTTGGATGTATTGATTTGCTGATTTTTTTTCTCTTTTTTTGGTCTTTAAAAATATTATTTGTTATATGGGATAGTTCTGTGCTGGAGGATGAGGAATAGATACTACAGGAAATTTGTTGATGGAAAAAAGATTTTTAAAAAGCTGATAAAAAAATAAAAACAGCTATGCAAGGGTGAAATAGACTGCTTTGGGAGGTAATGAGTGGGTTCCTCGTTATTGGAGGTCTACAAATGAAGGTTGGGTGATTATTGTATTTGTTATAGAGGGTATTTTTTTTCAGGTATGAATTAGACAAGATGATCATAGTGGTCCATTCAACTTTAAAATTCTTTGATTCTATGAATGTAAAGTAGTTTCTGTTCTTGAAGGCCTTTCAATAGTCAACACGGACAAAGAGAAAAAAACATAAAAAATAGATTTGGTCAGTAAGCAATGCAAGAGACAGGTTCATATATAAACAAGTACTTAGATGATAATCTCTTATGTTGAGGAGAGAAGGAAACGAAAAAAAAAAAGGGGTGGACATCAGCCATTCTAGAAAGCAATTAGGAACTATGCCCCAAAAGCAGTTAAACTGGACATACCTACCTCTTGACCAAATGGTACTACCACTAGGTCTATGACTCTGAGAGATCAGAGAAAGAGGAAAGGATCCTATATGTACAAAAATATCTATAGCAGCTCCAAAAGATTGGACGCTGATGGGGTGGGAGTGTGCATCAAGTAGAGAATGGATGAACAAGTTATAGTCTACAAATGTGATGGAATTCTATCATTCTGTAAGAAATGATGAAGGAGATAGTTTCAGAGAAACCTGGGAAGACTTGTATGAACTTATGCAAAATGAAGTGAGCAGAACAATTTATAGAATGACAACAATATTGTAAAGACAAACAACTCTGAACACTTAGGCGCTCTAATCAACACAATCACCAACCACAATTCCAGAGAACTCATGATACCAACCTCTGATTTTGAAGTAATGGACTCCTCCCTCCCTGTATGTGTGTGTTTGTGTGTGTGTGATCTGTTTTGGATATGGCTCATGTGTGGCTTTGTTTTGCTTGAGTATACATATTTGTAATGGGTTTTGTTTTCCTTGCTTTTTCAATGGGAGGGGGAAGCTGGGACAGAGAGAATGTGAACCTAAAAAGAAAATAAAATTGAATGAAACTTTTTTTTTAAAGGGTGGGCATATCTTAATTTAGAGCAACAAATATTTATTAAGTGCTTTCTGTCTGCAAGGCACTGGTACTATGCTAGGTGACTTTGGAAAGGAAAAGTGGGGGGGGAGGTTAGCCATGGTGGACAGCTCTGTTTCAGGATTGGGAGAGGGATGATAGTCCATCAAAGATTACTATGGAGCCTTCATACAGGTAGGAAGCGGTATCCTTCAAGTCCTTCGTTTTTCCTTTCTTTCCCAGCCAACCTCCTAGAAAAAGCTACTTATCTCCTTGTCCTCTCCTTATTTCTCACCCCCTTGCAACATAACAGAAACTGCCCCCACCCCACCCCAAAGTTATCAGTGGTTTTATATTCAAATTCCAATAGCCTTTTCTCAAGGGTCATTCTTTCTGATTTCTGTGCTGCATTTGATATTATTGATACTCCTTTCCTCCTGGAGACTTTTACCTTTCTATTTTTGTGACCCTTCCCTTGCTTGGGTCTCCTCTTAGCTGTCTGACTGTTCCTTCATTCTTCTTTGCTGAGTTATTATCCATATACCACCTCCAAACTGTGAATGTGCCCAAGCCCTCTTCTCTCTCATCAGCTTCCATGGGTTTAATTATCTCTAGGTGTTTAATGCCAGGTTTTAAAACTTCAGTTATATTGCCGTCAAATTGTAGTAGTCACATAGTGATCTAAGATTTAGGCCAAAGCTACTTGTCACTTTGCTCTGAAATGTTGTTGATAGCTATATTTCCTAATATGGAGAAATTTTTATCAGTGGTAATGATTTCCATTCATCTTTTTTTGCATGGATCATTGGCAAATGGAGTCAATTCACCCAGCTTTTCATTTCTGTTTTGTTCCTACATGCAGACCAATGCCCAGTGTCCCAACAAGTGCTGCCTTTCAGGTTCTATAATATGCTCTTGTGTCCTTTAGCATGCTTGGAATTTGTGCAGGCTGTGCTGGGGTAGGGATAGGAGGGTTTCTTTGTCACTGTAAACAAGGAGCAAGTTCTTCTCCCAGCTCTCTGCTTCACCAATGCCTCGCCAGAAGCTTTCATCACTCATGTAAGAAATTGATATTCTTTCTTTAAAAAACAAACTTTCTATTTCTCTTAAAAAGGTATTATAGAATAGCAAGTTGTTTTTGGTTAAATGTAATTATATTACACTCTCCATATCCTCTAAGTTAGCAGCCAGCAAAATGTTTTTTGTGTGCAAAAATATTTCTGGGTGCCTAAATGTTTTCTGTAATATCTTTACCTTTTTAAAAAGACTATCATCATGTTTTCTTTGGGAAGAGATCAGTGGGGCTTCAGGATATAGTGCAGATACAAAGGAAACTTAGCCCCACTCTTCCACCCTCAGTCCCCATTTCCTTCTTCCTTCAGTATCTGATCCTTTTTTTTTTGTGTGTGTGTGTGTGTGTGTGTGTGTGTGTGTGTGTGTGTGTGTGTGGCAGTTGATAATGCCTGGGCTTCCTCTGACCCAGGTGTCTTTTAGGGCTGCTGGAAAATAGGAAGGGGAGGGAAGGGAGAGGAAAGAAAAGAAGGAAAGAATAAACCAAATGGATTAACATGGAGAGTAAGACAAAAGTGGGAAAAGGACATATTTTCAGTACTTGGAACCCCACATTTTTTTTTCTTGTATTTTAGTTATCTTTCTGTGGGTTCTGTCTATAGCTATTAACTTACTTAAATTTCTCTGTGAGCTTCAGGTTGGAGATGGGGAGAGAGATGGTTTCTGCTGAGGAACAAGGCAACTCTAATAGTGGTCCTTGTGTTACTAGAAATGGCCATTTGCCATAGGTGGCTTAAATTTGGTCTGTTCTTATAAAGGCAAACTCTGATGCTAACTTTAGAATATTGGTAGAATTATGCTCTGGATGTGATGATGCTGGAATCTTGTTTCTTGACTACAAGTAGCTGAAATTTTTTTTAAAAAAAGAAGAAAACATGTCAATTGTTGGATTCTAGGCAATTGGAGAAAAGTATACTACTTATATTTACAAAATGTCCCAGTCAGCATCTTAGCATGAAAGGTTACCTCAGATCTTCTTTTATTTTCTTTTTACAATAACTATATGATCATAGATTTAGAGCCATCCTTATTTTTATATAAGAAAAAAATCACATCTCTGAATAGACAGAACAAGGAAAGAGAATATAAAGAGTAGGCATTTATATTTGATTTGATTTGCATTATGAATGTCTCCCTTGGATTCCATTGTTATTTTTTAATATTGTATTGATTTTTTTTTAGCATTGATATCACTTTCTAATCCTTCCTCTCTGCCCTGTCCTCCTCCCTACCCCACACCCCCACACCTCTCTTGTAACAAACAAAACAAAACATTGATAAGGTCTGATGATGAAGGAAGGCTTCATTTCTTACCCGAAGTCCCCCACTTCCCCACTGAGAGGAGAAAGCTTGCTTAGCCCCTAGTCCTCTGAAGTTAACCGACTACTCACTGCACTGGAGTGTTTCTTTTTTTTTTGAGGTAGTCAGGGTTAAATGACTTGCCCAAGGTCACACAGCTAGTAAGTGTCTGAGGCCCAATTTGAACCCAGGTCCTCCTGACTCTAGAGCTGGTGTGCTTCTGTCTTATGGAATTATTCTTCCTTTACATTTTCGTTAAAATGTAGCTTAGCTACATTAGCTCTGCTTGTTTTACTCTGCATCACTTCATGTCTTCCCGAGCTTCTTTGATTGATTTATATTCTTTATTTTTAAATGGAGCAGTAATATTCACTTACTTTCATATACTGGATTGTGTTCAGCCATTGCCCAGGCAATGAGGAAACTACTTTGCTTCCAGTTCTTTGCTACCACAAAGATGTTGCTATAAATACTTCTGTACATTAAATTTGTTATCTAATCTTAAGTGAATTGTCACTGCGGTAAGGCAGTTCTTTTACTTCTCCCTAATTGATTCTCTTTTCTACTTCCTACAGAAGCTGTTTGCTCCTCAAGCCTCCCATACCACTCTCCCCCCTCCCTCACCAGCTTATTCTTTAGGACCTCGTGCCATACTTTACCGAGAAAATAGAGACTGTTTTCTGTGAGCTCCCTCTTCTCTCCTTTTCTGGATCTCAAAACCCCTTGACATCTTCCCGTGTCTTCGCCTTCCTCACTCCAGGCTCTGATGAAGAAGTGACCTTTCTCACCAAGGCCAACCCCTCTACATGCAACTTTGTTCTCACTCCTCTTCTGCCTCTCCCTATTTCCTACTTCTTTAAAAAATCCTCAGACCTCACCATCTTATCAAGTTGTCATCCTATCTTGGTCTTCCCTTTCAAAACAAAACTCTTAAAAAAACCTGTTTACACTCTGTTCTCATTTCTTAACCCTTTTCATTCCAGAGTTCCCAGTGATCTCTTACTAATCCTTATCCTTCCCTGCAGCATTTGACACTGCTGACCCCCTTCTTCTCCCGGTGCTCTCTCCTCCCTGCTCCCTTCCTTGCTTATTTTTCTCCTTGTCTTACTGCTTCTTCTCAGTCTCCTTTGCTGGTTCGTCATCTGTACCTCTTATCTCTTCTGACTGCGGGTGCACACCAAGGCACTGTCTTGGACCCTCTTCTCTTTCTCTTTCCTTCTCTCTCTCATTTGTTGACATCATTAGCTCTCATGAATTCAGTTATCATCTCTATGCAGATATCTCCCAAATTCATATTTGTAGCCTCAGCCTCTTTCCTAAACTCTATTTTATTTACACATCTGCAGCTGCCTGTTGGACATTTCAAACTGGATGTCCCAGTATGTATCTCAAACTCATGATGTCCAAAGCTGACTTCTTTGTTTTTTCCTATTCCCAACTTCCCTACTGGTACTGGTAGGGTACTACCATCCTTCCAGTCACAAAGGTTTACAACTTGGCAGTGATACTTGACTCCTCACTCTTCCTTGCCGCATGTATCCCATTTGTCACCAAATCTTGTCATTTCTGCCTCTGGCCCCTTCTCTGTAGCCACCACTCTAGTTAAGGATCTCAGCACCTTTGGCCTGGATTATTTCAATAGCCTCTTAAGTGATCTCTGCCTCGTTTTTCCCTAGTTTAATCCGTCTTCCACATAGTTGCTAAGGTGATTTTCCTAAAGCACAGATCTGGACTTGTCATTGCTCCCACACAGTAAAATCCAGGGGCTTCCTTTTTTCTTTAGGTTTCTGTATAAGCTCCTCTGTTTGACTTTTAAAGCCCTACCTAACCTGGCCCTAATCTAATTTTTCAGCTTTGTGATACATTACTCCCTTTCCTGAATTCTGCATTCTGGCCAGATTGGCCTCCTTGTTCCTCACTCACAGTACTCTGTACCAGGCACTGTGCTAGGCCCGGGGGATTCAAAGACAAAATGAAACAATTACTCGATAAACTTATATCCCAATGGGGAGACAATACGTACAGACACATGTTTTAACGAAGTATTTGTCAGTTTTTGGGTAAAGTATTAGTAGCTGGGAAGATTGGGAAAGGTTCATGTAGAAGGTGGTGTCAGAGCAGAAGCTTGTAGGAAACGAGGGCTTCTAAGAGGCAGGAGTGAGAATAGGGGTATATTCTAGGCTTGGGGGCCAGTTAGTGCCGAGGCAGAGAGAAGACAGTGTCCTGTGTGTGTCGGCAAAAAGGCCAGCTTGGCTGAACCAGAGAGAATAAGAAGGTGAGCAGTGTGTAATAAGGGCAGAAAGGTCTGTTGGGATCAGGCTGTTAAAAGGCTTTAAGGAGTTTAGATTTGATCCTAAAAGCAATAGGGAGGCACTGGAATGATAGGGAAATAACATGGTCAGACCTACATAGTTGTTTGCATGTTGTTTTCCTGATTAGACTAAAAGCTCTGTAAGGCAATGTCTATTTTTGCCTTTCTTTGTGTTCCCGTTGCTTAAAACACTGGCACATAATGGGTGATTAATAAATGCTTGTTGACTTGACTTCACGGCCAATAATACGCATTGTGCTACCTAGTTTCCTGGTCAGCCAGATGGCACAGTAGATAGAGTCCTGGCCTGAAGTGAGGAAGACTCATTTTCCTGAGTTCAAATTTGGCCTCAGACACTTACTAGCTATGTGACCTTGGGCAAGTCACTTAACCCTGTTTGCCCCAGTTTTCTCATCTGTAAAATGAGCTGGAGAAGGAAATGGCAAACCACTCCAGCATCTTTGCCAAGAAAACCCTAAATGGGGTCACAAAGATTCAGACATGACTAAAATAACTGAACAACATCTGTTTTCCTAGGATGTTGAATGGGGAATATGGACATAGGTCATTGAGCCTGCCCCAGAAAGGGGAGTGATAAAAATTCTGGGGCATGGTGGATAGTGGTATTTAGGAGCATTAGCAAGAAAGCACAGCTTATGTGGTTTTGAAGGAGTTAGATGCTAGCTAGTTTGGGTGCACAGGCAGGACACCAGCAGAACCTTCATTGAGTGTGAGTTTGGGGAGTAGCCCGAGAATGGAGAATGATTGGGTGTGTCCTGAGAGAGATTGTGAATGTAGCTGAGATACCTTCGGTATTGTTTGAGAGAGCCGGTAAACTGGGAGGCTTTCTTATTCTGAGTCTTCCCTTGGAGAACAATCCCAGCATAGGCATAGCCTTGTGGCCTGGTTGCTAGCGCTGGAAGAGGTAACTGTTATGTGAGATGATGATATTTAAGGCATGACCATGGTTTGTGTATTTATATATATTTATTAACTTTATAATGTATACATTTTTGTAGTTGTCTCCCTCTTTAGGTTGTAAGCTCATCGTGAGGAAAGATTTTTCTGTTCTTTGTACTTGTATCCCATAGCACCACAGTGACCTGAAATAAATATTTGCTGATCGAGTTGGGGAAATAATTGGAGTTGAAGAAGTTGAGGAACTGTGTGGTTAGGTTATTTGGAGGAGTTTTCAACTTCAATGCTGAAGTCCACAAGGATGCAGGAGATGGGATAGAGAGGAAGATCGTGAACTAGATGCTACAGTCATTGAGAATATTTAAAAAAAAACTGAAGATGAGGAAATGCCATTTTCTTTCACTTCATGGATGCCATTCACAGTCAGGATTACAGCTGATAAGGCTGTATTTCTTTTCATCCTCTTATCCTTTTCCTCTGTGCCTCTTACTTCCTTCTTTACGAAAAAGATGGTGGTGAGAGTAGAGTGTGTTTAGAAGTATTGACCTGCTTCAGTTCTTCTGCCCCTTTTTCTCTTCCCTTCTCAGTCTCCGATCACAGGTTCTTACCCTTTCCTTTTTTTTTTTAATTTAATTTTATTGAGACTGGGTCACCCTATGCCCCCCAGGCTGGAAATGCTGCTACTGGTGGGCCTGATCCCATTATTGATCAGCATGGGAGATAGAGAAACTGAAATGTAAATACAGGAGTTAAGAAAAACCTAGAAAAATAAATACATTTGAGCTGCTGGAAGGAAATCTATAATGATCAAGTGTTTACATACTCACCGAAGGAGAAGCTGCTGTGTATCCTTCCTGGGCCAGTTTACTGCAACGTCCCCTGCACCTCTCCTTCCCAGGGCTCAGCCTCTCTGTAGCAGGGATTAGAGGGGTGTACCTCCCAGCCTGGTCCTTCCTTTCCTTCTAATCCTCTGAGTCATCCACCTTGAAAGCTGGAGTTTGTTTTGCTTATGACTAATCCCTTTATAAATCTCCTCTTATTATTTCCGTACTCTCTCTACTCCTTGTTCCTGCTTGTTTGCCTGTGGAGTTCTTGTAATTTTGTATGATAGAATTGTGCGTATTCAAGCCCCCTTTGTCTTTGTCCAGTTCAGATGTAAGTGTCAGGTGATTGCTGCTGCCCTACACCTTCCTAGATTCCATCCCTTTTCTTTCCCTTTTCCCCCTAGCATATGTAATGTATTTCAGCTTCCCTCCTTTTGTTTTTCCCTCTTAAGATTATCAAAATGTAACAAAACCACTCTCAAGCTGTCCTGTCTTATTTAACTCTTTTCATGACCTTTGAAGACATTTGGATTCTGAGGGGACACTTATTTCTTCTCCTTCTATTAGTGTGTAAATGCTTAATTATTGTTCTCTTCCAGTTGCTCAAACATATTTACTTTTCTAGGTTTTTCTTGACACTTGTATTTACATTTCAATTTCTATACTCAACCCTGGGTTTTTCATCAGGGATGCTTGGAAGTCCTCTATTTCATTAAACATCTATGTTTTCCTCTTTAGGATTAGACTCAGTTTTGCTGAGTGAATTATTCACTTTTTATTTTGTCTTTTAGAATATTACATTCTAAGTTCTTCCACCCTTCATAGTGGTAGTTGCCAAATATTGGCTCTTGACTCTGGTTCCTTGACACTTGAACTTTTTCTTTCTAGCTGCTTGCAGTATTTTTTCTTTAATCTGGAAGGTCTGGAATTGGCTGTGACTTTCCTGGCAGTTTTCATTTTGGGATTTATTTGAGGTAGTGAGTGGATTCTTTCTATTTTCATTTTGCTCTCTGCTTATATTTCTTTTTTTTTCTTTTTTTTTTTTTGTGAGACACGTGGGGTTAAATGACTTGCCCAGAGTCACACAGCTAGTGAGTGTTATGTGTCTGAGGCTACATTTGAATTCAGGTCCTCCTGACTCCAAGGCCGGTGCTCTATCCACTGCGCCACCTAGCTGCCCCTTGCTCTCTGCTTATAAAAGTTCTAGGCAGTTTTCAATCATAGTTTTAAAAAATATGGTACCTAGGCAGTTCTTAGGATTAAAGGTTTATAGATTAGTTCTTTTTTTTTGGCTCTGGTTGTCAGTTAGTTTGATGAATCCTAGATGAACTTACCCTGACCTATTTTCTGGTTCAGTTGTTCTTGATAAGAAATATTTTTTTTCTATTTTTTTTTTTTAGTCTTTCCATTTTGTTTTGGTATTTCTTGTTGTCTCATGTCATTGATTTCTATTTGGTCCATCATAATTTTCTTGGCTGAGTCTTCCCACATAGTCTACTAAACTGTTTATTCTCCTTCCAATTCTTTCCTCTAGAGTTCACATTTAATTTCCAGTTTTTTTTTCTTTTAGAACTCTCATTTAATCTAGAATTATTTTTAAACTCTTGATTCATTTCTTCTAGAATTCCAGTAGACCTTGTTGTAAAGCTGTTACTGTAACAAATGTTTTAGTTTATTTTTTTAATTATGTGTGTACTGTTTGCTTGATTTGGAGAAGTCATTGATTATAACACACACCTGAAAGACAGTCTTTTCCTGTCACTTGCCTCAGGTCAGCTGCCTCTGTGGTCAGAGCATAGGTTTAAATTGGGCCTCAGATACTTAACTAGCTGTAAGATCCTGGGCAAGTCACTTTGCCTCTGTTTGCCTCAGTTTCCTCATCTGTAAAATGGGGGAAAGTAATAGCACCTACCCCCCAGGGTTGTTATGAGGATCAAATGAGATAATGTCCTCCCGGTCTAGGACCCCCTTGACAAACAATCCTCCAGCCTCCCCCAACCCTGTTTGAGGGTTGCCTCCATCTCCTGACAGCTTACACCACATTTGGACAGCTCTAACGGCTATGAGGATTTGCATCTTCAACTTGTGCTCTTTAGATTTAGTCCCACTTACATGTGACAACCTTTCAAGTACTTGAAGATGCCCACATGCTTCTTAAGTCTTTTCTTTTACACATTGGATATACTAAGTTTGTTCATCTGGTCTTTGATGCTGAAAATTCTGCAGTCTTGTCCCTTCTCTGGTAATCTTCCAGAGCCACCCTCTTGTTATCCTCCTCGCGTGTGTGCCTTTAATCTCTCCCTCTCCGGGAGTTCCTTCCCATCCACCTAGAAATATGGGATCATAGACTGAGAGCTGGAAGGACCTGTAGGGAGTTTCAGACCACATCATGGAAATAATTTGGCAGTTTTACTGGGATGGTTGAACTCAACTGCTGTTGATTAGGGTGATTAGAGTCTGAACAAGCAGTGAACTGTCTTCTTCCTCTTTGTAAACAAAAGTTTTTGATGATGTTGTTTGAATGGTTTTTATTGTCTGAGTAGGCATGTAAAGTACATCCAAAAACTTCAACAGAAATGCTTTTTTCTTTTTTCAGTGATGCCATCTGTAACTTTGTCATCTGCAATGATGCTTCCCTCCGAGGACAGCCAATCATCTTTAACCCTGACTTCTTTGTGGAGAAGCTCCGACATGAAAAGCCCGATGTTTTCACTGAGCTAGTGGTTAGCAATATCACCAGGCTTATTGACCTGCCGGGGACAGAATTGGCTCAGTTGATGGGGGAGGTCGACCTGAAGTTACCCAGTGGGGCTGGCACTGCATCAGGGTTCTTCAGATCCCTCATGTCTCTCAAACGCAAAGGTGGGAAATGAATTTATTAAGGACAGTCGGGATACTGCATTTCTCCTCACGTTCCCATCAGTAGTGATTCTCTCTTGATTTTATATTGAAGAGATGTGCAATTTCAAATGAGGAGTGTGAGTCTATGCAAGGGATTTTTGTGTAGTCTTTTCACTATTATAAATAATGAAATCACGGTGGGAAGTTGGTAAGAGAGCCAGTCTAGGAGTAAGAAGATTCGAGTTCAAGTTCTTCCTCTGACCCATCCTGGCTGTGTATTCTTGGGGAAGTCACTTAACCTCTCTGTGCCCCAGGACACTTTCTAAGACTACATATATGTTGCAGATAGTTGTTTGTCTGCACTAGAAGGAATTTCCTCACTGGGAGTGCCTAACACCATTGAAATCTCAGGTCAGGACCCCCCTAAAATTGTAATGTAATATAGTCATAAAATTATAAATATAGTCCAAGTAAATAGAATTATTAAACTGAAGTAAATCTACCTAAACATTAAAAAATAAAAAAAAGATTTTCTTAGAGTCTTACAAGTATGGTAAAGTGGAAAGTCAGTTAACTAGCATTTATTAAATGCCTACTATGTGCCAGGTATTGTGTTGAGTGCCAGGGATACAAAGAAAAGCAAAAGACCATCCCTGCTCTCAGGGAGCTCCCAGTCTAATGGGGAAGACGACATGGAGATTGTGGACAAATTTAGGGCAACTTGGGAGTAGTCTCAGAGGGAAGATTAAGGAGGACAGGGAAAAGCTTTTTGCAGAAGGTGAACTTTAGCTGAGACTTGAAGAAAGCTGGGAAGCTAAGGGCTGGAGATGAGGACGGACACAGCCATTGTGAGTGCCTGCGATTGGAGATGGATCACCGGGTGCTTGTGGGGAGTAAGGTATAAGAAGACCGGAGAGTTAGGAAGGGATAGGGGAGGAGGGGCTGTGAAAGCCAAACAGGATTTTATATTTGATGCTGGAATGAGTGTGTGTGAGTGTGTGAGTGTGTGTGTGTGTGTGTGTGTGTGTGTGTGTGTGTGTGAGAGAGAGAGAGAGAAAGAGAGAGAGAGAGAGAGAGAGAGACAGATGGTCAGAGCTGGGCTTTAGGAGGATCACTTTGGCAACTGAAGGGAGGAAGGACTGGAGCGGGTAGAGTCCTGAAGTAGGCAGACCCTCCAAGTAGCTCTTGCAGTGGTCCAGGCATAAAGTGATGAGGGACCTGCACTAAGGTGGTGGCAGTGTCGGAGGAGAGAAGGCGGGGGTGGGGGGTGGGGGGAGGGAAGGAAGGGGAGGGTGGGAGAGAGTGTCCTGTATGATATGTGACAAAGGTAGAAACACCAGAACTTGAGAGCTGATTGCATGTGGGAAGTGAGAGAGCCTGGGTAACTGGGAGGGTGGTGGTGCTCTTGACAATAATAGGGAAGTGAGAAAGAGCAGGGAATTTTAGGGGAAAGATGAGGTCGGTTGTGGACATGTTGAGTGTTGGATTTGGGTCACAAGACCCAGGTTCGATTTCCAGCAATGTTATGATACCTCTGTAATCTTGGGCAAATCCCTTTGCCTTTGGGAGTCTCAGTTTCTGCGTCTGTAAGATGAGGAAGTTGAACTAGGACACCCTAAGGTGTCTTCCAGCTCTAAATTGATGAGACTTTGAGGGGAGGTGTCAGCTGGTGTGGTGGTCCTTCTTTCATATTGCATTAATGTGGAAATCCAGTTTTGGTTTACTTAAAAAACAACCAAACCATACATTGAGAAGACATGGATAGAATGAAGAAAACAGGAAGTTCACTTTCCTTGGGCAGTGGTCCTCAAACCTTTTCATTCCATGGACTACTTGACTAAAGCCGTTACACGTGGATCCCTTACCTGTTTGTGTTGGCTGTGACTCAGAACGCTTCCCCCAAAGAAATGGATGAGTGACTCAGTTTTTGATGAGATATTAATGAGATCACGTCTGTTTTTTGTTAAGCATAGTAAATTATTTATGTGAGAAGGTATCAACATTTTGATATCATAACCATCAGTACAATCTTAATTAGCTGGATAACGCTTGTGGATAACACTTTGAGAGCCGCTGCTCTGATGTTCTGTTGTACTTACGTGTCTCCTTGTATGTAATATTATGCCAGACATTCTACAGAATTTAGTAGAAAGATTTTTTTTACCCTCAGGAAGCCTGTGGTCTAATACTAAACACTGGAGAGAAAGAATAAATTAAGGGCTCTTTAATATTGCCTGTGCATTGCTTAGTATTATTTAGTACAGTGCATTAACCTTGAGGTGAGCTTGTAAATTAACACTAATTTATTGACCCTGTGAAATCATTTTGTAGCTCAGTAAAACACATAACCATGTTCTCTTTATTTAGGATGCCACAAGGCTTTAAGTAAGATGATTCTGTGCTGTGTGTGAAAACTTGTTCACGGCCTTGCTTTATGGTTTTCTAGAAAAAGGAGTTGTGTTTGGATCACCATTGACAGAAGAAGGCATTGCTCAAATATATCAACTGATTGAATATCTACACAAAAGTAAGTCTTGTCTCCAATTTTTCTGTCCTTTTGTTAAAAATTTTTTTATTAGTTTATTTTAATTTATCAACAATCACTTCCATAAGCTTTTGAGTTGTATATTTTTCTTCCCCTCCCTCCCTACCTCCATCCCCAAGACAGCACAAAATCTAATATAGGCTATACATAATATAGGCTAACCCTATTAAACATATTTTCACATTAATGATGTTGTAAGGAAGAATTAGAACTAATAGGAGGAACCACCAGAAAGAGGAAACAAAACACAACAGAAGAAAAAAATAGCAAATAGTATGCTTTGATCTGCATTCAAACTCCACAGTTCTTTCTCTGGACATGGATAGCATTTTCCATCATGAGGCTTTTGGAGATGTCTTAGATACTTGCTGAGAGGGGTTAAGTCTATCAAAGTCAGTCATCACTCAGTGTGGCTGTTAAATTCTGTACAACATTCTCCTGGTTCTACTCACTTCACTTAGCATCAAACCATACAGGTCTTTCCAGGTTTATCTGAAGTCTGCCTGTTCATCATTTCTAATAGCACAATAGTATTACATTACATTCATCTATCACATTCACAATTATGATTACTATCTGTCTTTCTCTCCATCCTTTCCCTCCTGTTTATGCTTTTCTTTCTCCTTTTCCCTCCTCACTAATGTTTTGCTTTTGATCACAGCCTCCCTCAGTCCCACCTCCCTTCTATTAGCCCCCTCCCTTTTCTTTCCCCTTTTCCCTCCTACTGCCTATAGGGCATGTTAGATTTCTATGCCTAACTGATTCTGTTATTCCCTTCTTGAGCCAAATCTGATGAGAGTAAGGTTCAAACAATGCTCATCTCCCTCTGTTCTTTCCGTCTGCTGTAATAGGTTTTTGTGCCTTTTCCTATGATGTAATTTACCCTTGTCTGCCTCCTCCTTTCCTTTTCTCTCAGTACATTTTCTTAGTTAGATCAGATTAATTCACTTACTTGGATCCATTTAACCTACTTGATTAAATTTTTTTCATCATTACATCAAAGTCAATTTATACCCACCCCTTTTATGTATACCCTTTAACATGATATAATGATGATACAGTTCTCAAGAGTTACAAGTGTCTTCTTCCATTGTAGGGATGTAAACAGTTTACTCTTATTAATAACATGTTGTTTCTTTCTGTCCCGTTTACCTTTTTATGTCTCTCTTGAGTCTTGTATTTGAAGATCAAATTTTCTGTTGAGCACTGGTCTTTTTATCAGGAAGGTGTGGAAGTTCCCTATTTCATTGAATACCCATCTCCTCCCCAAAAGATCACGCTCATTTTCGCTGTGTTGTCCTTTCCATTATTAGAATGTGTGGTTTTTTGCTGATAGATGAGCTACTCCATGGCAAGAAAGTAGATTCCCATACATAATTTGGGTTCCAACCTCTGTGACACGTTTATGTATTTAGTACAGTTCATGTGTAGTTTGACTTTGTTTTATGCATTAGAAGTGTTCTTGACAAGTTGTATGTAAAAAAAAGTCTACATCATATGTCAAATTACATTTTCTTATTACCTTGAGAAGGATTCTTGCTGAAAAAATACTGGCTCTGATGCATCATAAAAATCACACTAAATGGAACCTTTTGCCTTATGTGTAGTCTGTATAATCTAATTCTCCCACATAATCCTTTAAAAGAAATTTATCAAATTGATTCTTAGAAGCCCAGAAAAAACCCTGGATTAGGAATCAAAGAGGTCCGTATTTCAGTTTTGGCTTTGCTACTGATTGCCAGGTGACCATGGGACAAATCATCAACCTCTATGGACCTTGGTGTACTCATCTCCAAAATGGGGATGGCATTAGGCCAGATGATCTCTCAGGCTCTTCGCACTTCCAACATGCTCTGACTAAAGTAGATCACACAGTTAACTTGTCTTTGTTTGGGCAGAGTAGTTATGATGTTTATCCAAGTTTTTATTAAATTCAATCAAGAAACATTTATTAAGCATCTACCTTGTGCCTTGGCACTGTGTATCCTCAGTGGAAAGAAACAAGTGGGAATACTTTTTGAAATAGGAATCCTAGCTCGGTGCAGAGAAAGCAAGATGTGTGTGTGTGTCTGTGTGTGTGTGTCTGTGTGTGTGTGTGTATATATGTCTATATGTATATTTTGTTGAATTGAATTGAAATACAGTCTAGAAGATGTAAGTAGTTCCATGATACTATGTTAAGGGTGTCTTTGTCTCTTTAATGGATTCATCTCTGCTATAAATACATATTTATTGACCTAATGACCATTTAATAAGTTCTTATTACTTAGTTAAACCCATTTTTGTTGTTGTTCATTCGTTTCAGTTGTATCTGATCCTTCATGACACCATTTAGGGTTTTCTTCTTTTCTTTTCTTTTCTTTTTTGTTTTTTTTGGCTAGGCAATGGGGTTAAGTGACTTGCTGAGGTCATTTTTGAACTCAGGTCCTCCTGAATTCAGGGCTGGTGCTCTATCCACTGCGTCACCTAGCTGCCCCCATTTAGGGTTTTCCTGGCAAAGATACTGGAGTGGTTTGCCATTTCCTTCTCTAGCTCATTTTACATATGACGAAACTGAGGCCAAACAGGGTGAAGTGACTTGCCCAGGGTCACACAGCTAGTATGTATATGAGGCTGGATTTGAACTCAGGAAGATGAGTCTTCCTGACTGTAGGCCTGGTGCTCTATCCACTGTGCCCCTTAGCTGCCCCAGAAGAACCAATAGGGCTCCTTAAAAAATATTTCTGTTTCCTTCTGGGAAATCCTGTGCTTTCATGAACTGCAGGCTGAGTAGCTAGAGAGTTTTCTTGATTATGTGCTTAACCCAACCGAAGTCAGTCGGTCAGTCAACCAGTCAATATTATTAAGCACTTTACTATGTCCCTGGTATTAAGATCGATGCTGAAAGAAAGGCATAACAGAAGTGGTATAATAAGCTGACAGCCTGGAACCAGACTTAGTGAAGTAGATCCGTGTTTGCCAGTGTTGGATTGGACCCCATCAGTGAGCAACAGAGAAGATTTTCTCTAAAGTAATCACTTTTTTGTTGATGCCAATAGTGTACAGTGGTGAGATGTATTTATGTTGATGGGGATCATACATCCATCCTCAGGGGAATTTAAAGAATATTGGAGACAGCATAAAATACCTGAGAGTATACCTGCTGAAACAGACTTAAGAGCTATGTGAACATAAATATAAAACACTTTTTATACAAATAAAGTCAGATCTAAATAATTGGAGTAATATTTGTTCATGGGTAGGTAAAACCAATATAAAAAAATGATAACTTTACTTAACTAATTTATTTATTCAATGCCATCCTAATTAAATTACTAAAAATTATCTTACTGAGTTAGAAAAAAATAACAAAGTTCATTTGGAAGAACAAAAGGTCAGGAACTTCAAAGAAACCAGGGGGAAAAAAAGACATAAAGGAAGCAGAATCAACAGTATCAGACCTTAAACTGTATTATAAGGTGAGAGCATTGTTGAAGTATAAAATGAATAATTTTGATTATTTTGAATTAAAAATTTCTTGTATAAATAAAACCTATGTAGCCAAGAATAGAAGGAATGCAGAAAATTGTGAAAAAACTTTCATAGACAACCTCTCAGATAGATCACTGTGGTATAGGACATGATGAGCTGGTTGATTCAGAAAAACATGAAAAGACTTGGACTTATGAAGGAACATGCTATCCACCTTCAGAGAAACAGATGACAAGTGGAAATAAGCATAGTATGATCTTACATATATGTGTGTGAGTGTATATGTCTATGTTTATAGATATCTGTGTATATGTTATATATATATCTGCACTTAATTGTAGCCGCCTTTAGGGCAGCAGAAGGGAGGAGGGAGGGGAAAAAATAAAGTAAAAAGTACACAGCAGAGAACAAAAGAAAACAACAACAACAAAAAGCTGGGCAGCTTTGAAAACAATGTGTAGTATTTATTATCTATTTTCTTGAAATGGAAATTTATTGTTTTATGTTGAATCCTCTCCTGTGTTCTGCTGTGTACATGGCAGTGTTTATTACTTTTCTCATTTTGTATTTAAGTTTAAAGTTTAAAAAAATTACAAAAAACAAAAAAAAATGCTATGCTTTTAGTACTTCTAAAAAAAATAAAATAAAATAAAGAATATTGGAGCTTTTGGTGGAGCTAGGCTCCCTGCTTGACCCCCAGCTGTCCTGGAGACCTGCCTCCCAGGGTTGTTGAGAGGATCAAAGGAGATGACACATATAAAGTGCTTTGCAAACTTGTAAAGCACTGGGTAAACTTTGGGGCTCCTATCTAATCAGATTGGTCAGGTCTGGATGGATTATTATGACCATTCTGGGCCCCTTCAGATCTACAAAAACTCTTTCTCCAGAATCACTTAAAATCCATCTGGTGATACAGCCTAGATTGAGCCATCTTCAGAGTGAGAGCAGGGACTTGTCTAGAAGAGTCCCAGGGGTTTAAGGTGATGGTGACTGGGAACTGTAAAGAAGCATGTGCACGTAAGCTCTTTTATCATTGTTGTGGCCACAATCTCATTATCAGTATAAAGGCCGGGGAGCCCCAGACAATGGCGATGGTACGTGTTAGGATCCCGATCTTTGTCTCTGATTCTTTTGGCCTCTTTTGCTCTTTCATTGGTTTCCTCAATCCTGAGAAGATTTGCGAGTAGAGGGCTTGTTTAGAGTTCCGGGAAACAGTGTACGACAACAAGTATTAAGGGATGCTCTTAACAATGGTGCTGATGTTGACTTGGAGTCTGGGGAGTTTCACTCAAACGACGTGGCCTCTCTGCTGAAGATGTTTCTGGGGGAGTTACCAGAGCCCCTTCTGACCCACAGGCATTTTCATGCACACCTGAAGATTGCAGGTGAGTCAAAGTACTAAAGAAGGAGATGCAAAAAGCACTTTTTAAATTCAGTAAATACTTTTGGACCTTGTGTTATTTTAAACCTTTGTAGTATTGCCTCTTGTCTTAATGGCATTACACACATCCATTCACATTCACGGGATGATCAGATGTTAGTGTTCATTCTCACTCTGTAGTAAAGAGTACAATAGTTCTTAACCTTGACCTATCAGTCTTATGCATGAACTGATAGCAGCCTTCCTGGCTGGGGTAGGCTGGACCTGAAACCAGTCAGTAGAAGATAGTGAAAAACTAGAAAATTATAAGAGAAAAATGGAAGCTTTTTTTTTTTTTTCTTGGCTTTTGTTGGGCTCACTTATCCCCTGGGAAATATCTTCACACTGTATAGCTTTATACAGTGATGTCAGATGAGAGGGACAGATGGATGGATGTGGCATTTTTCTGCTATCTGGAAATACATTTTTTGTTTTTATTTTTATTCCAATACAATAACAGGAGAGGGAGGACATTAGGAAAATAGATCATGTTGATTTATAAAATATTTCCAAAGCAAAGCAAGAGTCTTTGCCTTAAAATGGCTGTCTCCCTTTCATGAAACAAGGAGCTTGATGTTAAAAGAACATGCAGACAACCAAATCAGTAAAGAGGCATACAAATCTTTTTCATGCCTTATGAACAAGACAAAATGGTGACCTTGTTAATTTATTGTATTTCACTGCACACTTTGAATTTTGCTTATTGTGAATCTGGTCTGTGGAGTGGCTGAAATAGACTTTTCTGGCTGATTTTTTCCTCTCCTCTGAACTACTCTCCTTTGGCCTCCAAGATCTCATGCAGTTTGATGATAAAGGAAACAAGACCAGCATCCCGGATAAAGAACGCCAAATTGAAGCCCTGCAATTGCTCTTTCTGATTCTTCCACCACCCAATCGTAATTTGCTAAAGCTGCTGCTTGACCTTCTCTACCAGACAGCAAAGAAGCAAGACAAGAACAAGATGTCAGCCCACAACCTTGCCCTGATGTTTGCTCCTCACATCCTGTGGCCAAAAAATGTAAGTGTCAAGGTAGCCTGATATTGTGATGTAAGGTTTTAGTTTGGGCCTCAAGAGTTATCTCAGTACTTTGTATCTTCTCTTCCAGGTTGCAGAGTCAGAATCAATTTTTGTCAGTTCTCCTATTGTGATGTGATGCTGCCATATTTCTTTCCATCCATATGGAGTAGTGTTATGTAGTGGAAAGGGCAATGGACCTCTAGGGAACTGGCCGTTAACCCTTGGCCCTGTCATGAGATATTTGACTAATGATGGTCAAGGCACAAAATATTCCTTCCCTGTGACTTGTTACTCCCTCATATGTAAAATAGGGATAAAAGTACTTATCTTGCCTTCCTTGAAGAGTTCTGTAAGGATTGATGGAGACACTAAAGGAATTTTAAAGAAACTATAGGAAGTGGGAATCTTAAAGCAAAGCAGAGAGTTTACATAGTCAGTTTCAGGTTTCTAAAATAGTAACTTTATTTTTTGTTGATTAGTTGTTTCACTTGTGTCAGATTCTTTGTGACCTCATTTGTTTGTTTGTTTTTTGGGGGGTGGTGCAGCTAGATGATGCAGTGAATAGAATTCTGTGCCTGAAGTAAGGAAGACTCATTTTCCAGAGTTCAAATCTGGCCTCAGTCACTTACTAGCTGTGTGACCCTGAGCAAGTAACTTAACCCTGTTTGCCTCAGCTTCCTCATCTGTAAAATGAATTGCAGAAAGAAATGGTAAACCACTCCGGTATCTTTGCCAAGAAAACCCCAAATGGGCTCACAGAGTGTTGGACGTGACTGAAAACAACTGAACAACAAACTTTAATTTTTATTAAAATTTTTTTGTTTTTAATTTTTTATTCCATACTTAACAATTAACAAAACAAACATTCTGATAAGCAAACAAAATAAAAATTATACATAAAATAATAAACTCAAAATAAAAAATCAACTTTAATAGTAAATATATGCTTTTTTGTTTCTTTGTCTCCTGACTTTTTTTTGTGTGTATTTTCCCCTGGATTTTGTTATTGTTGCTGTCACCATATTGTCGTCATCATCATCATCATCATCATCTACTTATTGTAAATAATGTGCTTCTGTTTTCTTTATCCTGCATCATTCTGCGTCCTGTATTTCTATCCTTTTTTTGTGTTCATGTTTGTTATTTCTTAAGATGCAATAATATTCCATTCCATTCATATTAGTTTGTTTAGCCATTTCCCAATCTTTAGACATATGGATTGTTTCTGTGTTTTTGCTATTTTTTTTTTAAACTTCTCTGAGTAATTTTATATAGAGAAGTATTTTTTCCCTATTTTTCAGTAAGGCCATTATGACTTCCTAGTAGTGAGTGAGATCATTAAGCCAAAGAGTGTGAACAATTTTATAGCTTTTATTATTCACTGTCATATTTTTCCCAAAAAGATTGCATTATTTCACACCTCTGCTGGCAGTGTAATGGTTTGTTTCTTCATAGCTCCTACTAACATTGAATTTTATGTTTTTTAACTTTTTCACAAGTTGTACTTCAAAACTTTTCATTTATATTTCTCTGATTATTAGAGAGTGAAAAATTTTCAGGTGGCTGATGTGGAATAGTTTGCATAACAAATAGTTTTTGGAAGCTCATGTGATGTTCTGGAGGTAAGAGACAGGTGTGTTGGGGAAGAGGAAACACAATTATCACCTGGTCTGCAATTGTGCCCTGTTGAAAGACTTTTGGAGATACTTCCCTAAGATTATGGGAAGGAAAGAATAGATGGGTCTTGGCCAAGGAGAGGGTAAGACCTTGTTAAAAGGAAAGAGCCAGGAAAGGAAACCGAGTTGTACGATGTTGGGCACAAAGGAAAAAGAAAAAAATGAGTTTGTTCTATTTGTAGGAAACTAAAATGTTACTTCATTACTAGGTAAAAGGATGGCTCAATTTTATCTTTAGTGAAATCCCAGATTTTCTGAAGCTAAAAATAGCTAACATTTATATAGTGTTTACTATGTGCCAAGTACTGTGCTAGGCACTTTACAATTATTATCTTATTTGATCCTTATGACAACCCTGGAAGAAGTATTCTTATTATCATCATTATTCTCATTTTACAGATGAGGAAACTGAGACAAACAGAGGTTAAGTGACTTGCTCAGGCTTGCACAGCTAGTGAGTATGTGAGGCTGGATTGGAACTCAGGTCTTCTAACTCTCCAGGCCTGGTGCTATGTGCATTGTGCTAGGCTCATATAGATCTCCTCCTTCTTGCTTAGTTGGGTCTTAAATTATATCCCTTTTAATAGTTTTGTTTTCTTGCTTGCTCCTTGAGCAGGATAAAAAACTAATTAATTAATTTCACATGGATTTCTTAGTAATTCCAGGGTTAGGATCATTTGATTCCTCCTTGATAAGTTTGTGTCCTATGGAAAACTTCTAGATCAAAAATTTTTATCTGGGAGGAAGGGCTCTTTCAGCATGCTAGCCCTATCATAATAGCTACTATGGACAGCATGGTTTTGGAGAAAAGAGTTCATTGGTAAATAAATGAGGTTTTTTTCTCCGTCCTCTATCCAACGTCTTTTTACTTTGCGTTTATTTTCTTCTTTGAACAGGTCACTGCAAATGACCTTCAGGAGAATATCACAAAACTGAATAATGGGATGACTTTCATGATTAAACACTCTCAGAAACTTTTTAAGGTAGGTATTATCCTAGGACTTAGGCAGCAGTAAAATTAGTGCCAGCAGGAAGGGAATTTAGGTAGGCAGGATCACAGCTGAGAGTTACCATAAGTATGACGGAACATTGGTTAAATTCATGAGGATCAGCCGATTTGGGGATAAAACAAAGGTACCACTTGATCTATGTAGGCAGGAGTAAAAGAGTCCGTTAAGGTCAGTCAAGTGGAATTGGTGACCCCAGGTCAAAGACTTGGAAACAAAGGGTTAGGAATCCAGGGAGAAGTTCTGGGCAAAATGTCTGAATAACAAGAGGTCTGGATCTTGGCAAGGGTGTCTGTAAGGGACACAGGGCACTGGCAGTAAGCCTGGTGCTTGAACCTGCTTCTGCAGCTCTGTGAACCAGGGGCCTCCTCATGTCCTTTCATGTCAGACCCTGGAGTGAGGTCGGGCTGAGTCTGCAGTTGGAGGCCGTGGGGATATCAAACTGGGATGGAGGAGGAAGGTGCCGCTACATCTCCCCTACTTTTTCCCCCTTGCTGTCAGCTCTTCTTGCCAACGGGACTTCCCCCCTGTTTTTGACTGTAGCCAAGCACGTGCAGTTAGCTCCATAGCCCTGCAAGCAGCCAGAGAGCTGAGTTCTTTCCTTTAGTCCCCATCTGTTAGCAAGCACTCGTTAAGTGGCTGCTCTGTGAATGGAGGCCCTCAGGGAGCTTACATTTTATGGGGAGGATCACTCAGAAGTTTCCTTGCCTCTGCTTCTTAGGGTTTCCAGGCATCCTTCTCAGTTTGGCTGGGGTAGGGGTGGGGACTAAGCTCCCTGAGGGAAGGGGTGAGGATTACTTTTGTCTTTGTCCCCAGTGCCTGGTGCTTCATAAATGCTTGTTGGTCAATTGGTATCCTTTTAGGTTCTGTCCTGTTTTTGGTCACTAAGTCCATTACTCATTTTCCTAAGCTGAGATAGTGAGCTGCCTCCAGAAACATCCTGGATTTTATTACTTCCCCCCTTGCTCTTGAGGCTTTTTTGGCATACTTTTATTTTATTTCAGAACAACAGAATTTTTAGAGTTGGAAAAGATACTTTAGATCACGACTACTTCAGAGATATCAAAGAAAACCAGTGAGTGCAGCCCAAGCTGGAATAAAATGTCAATGGGAAATGTTTGAGAAAATAAATAAAAACAGTACAACAGTGCGGTTTTCAAAGTCACTGTGGGACCTGCAGGGATCCTTTTCTATTTGAGTTTGACACCACTGCTCTAGTCCAACTTCTTCATTTTATAGAGGAAAAAACTAAGCCCCATGGGTTATGAAGTGGTAGAGGCCAGACTGGGGCCTGGTTCTGCAGGTCTTGTTTTCTGTCCGTCCTGTGCTCAGCTGCTCCCTTCCCCACTAGCTCCTGCTTTCTTTTTATGCCTTATTCAGGCTCCGGCTTATGTTCGGGAATGTGCCCGGCTGCATTATCTGGGCTCGAGGACTCACGCATCAAAGGTAAGCATAGGGAATTGCTCTTGCCGAAACACAGGAAGTGAGGACCAAACAAAGAAACAGCGTTACAGCTAAGCCTTTATAATAATGAATGCTGTGCAAAGTGCAGTGAGGGAAAGCGAAAGCCAGTACATGACAGCTTCAGACTGCTTCTTTTGGGTACTTATCTAGTGTCACAGCTCAAAAATAACCAATCACTTTGAGATGAGTGAAAGAGCAGCTAGGAAGGAGAAGATGATGATGGGTGCTATGGAAGCGATGGGGCCTCTGTCGACCTTTGTCTTCCTTTGCCCCAAGAATCTTCTGCTGATACAGTATAGGAATGGTTGAAAAGCTCCATAGTCCACAAGGCCTCAGATGGTCTTCATTACACCCTTGAGTATTTTAAATGTTCAAAATTGTAAGCACAACTGATCCAGCCTAGAAATGGCATTTGGAGATAGGATTATTCTAGGTTGGGTCTGCCAAGTCACACAATTGTCCATATTGTTTTCTTACTTTTAATCCAGTGACAAACAAAGGGCCACTCTGAATGAGGCCAAGTGTAGCCTGTGGATCTAGAATTGAAGCCCATAGTGACTGAGAAGGAAACTCACCATTCATTAGCAGAAAAATTACAGAGTTTTGTACATGCTCTGAACTCAAGTTATTAAAGGTTAAAGTTTTTTAAACTTCCAAGGACTTTAACCAGGACAATGTTAAGGATCTTTATAGACATTGCCACTATTTTCTTCTGAGTCTTTCCTTATTTTTCTTAGTTTTTGGGTTGCTTCTCCATCACATTCTGCAAACATTAAGAACAACCAGGCAAAGATTTAGCATTATCTCTTAAATAGTTAAAATTGAAGTCTGTTTTATCCAGTCTTTCTGCCTTCTGCTGTATCCTGTACTTGTCTGAGCCTATGCTGAAGGAAGTTGGGATTGTTTGGGTGGGGCAGTGATACCATTAGTGAAACCTATGGGATTTAGATCATATTCACCTGGGTAAAATAGGAGGAAGGATGGCTGGGTTTCTAAGTGTTGATGGACACTGTGGTATGTTTATATTTTTTTTTCTCTTTTTAATTTAGCCTGAAAATCGGAGCTAGTAGGATTCCTTAATCTCCTCTTCCTTTGTACTTTCTCCAGGATGACCTGGATCTGCCGACCTCATGCAGTAGTAAGGACTTTCCACTTTCAAAATCCCATAAAAGGACCCGGATGAACACTTGCTTCCAACAGGAAGAGACACAGCAGCGTACAGAGGAGGCTCTGAGAGAGCTCTTTCGACATGTTCACAACATGCCTGACTCAGCGAAGAAGAAGAAGCTCATTCGACAGGTATCTGTCCTGAAGTACAGGAAGAGTCACCCTGATTTAGGGAAACAGTCATGGTTATGGGATTGACAGAATATTCGTGAGAATGGTAGAATCTGAACTGATTCTCGGTTTTCTAGGAGTGTGATCGTTGAGGCTCTCAGTGACTCCCACTTTTGTTCAGCAAGGATAAGTGAAAGCGTCTGTTGAGACCTAAAATCCCTGAGGACGGTCCTCTGTGGCGAGTGTCAGGTATAGCAAACCTCAGGATGAGCAGAGGCTGTTGAGGAGCAGTGAGGACACCAAAGAATAGTTCAGTGTGTTTGGAGCTCCACTGAGGCAGGCCTGCTGGTGCTATCCGTAGTCCCTGCTGCTGCGGAGACTGAGGCTACATGCACTTGAGTTTGGGAGTTCTCAGCAGCTATCGGGAGAAAGCCCCAATGTGGTGAAGCCCCTGGAAGAGGGGTGCTACCATGCTGCTTAAAAAGGGGCAAACCAGCCCAGATTGGAAAAATGGAGCAGGGTAAAGCTTCTGTACCAGTCTGTATTGGGATTGGGCCTGTGAGTGGTTGCTCACTCCCATCTGTGGTGAGATAGGAAAATTCAGTCTAGAACAAACAAAACAACAACAAAATGAAGCTCGATTGAGCTAATAAGCAAAGGAGAAGGATCAAACACAAAGGCCAGCTTCTTTGAATGGATAGGACACTGAAACTGACAATATGGGGAAGGAAGTTAGCATGCTCCCTTTATTTTGCCTCTTTTCTTCTGCCAAGAAGATTGACTTTTGAACTGGATGGGACAGAACAAAAATGACTGTTAGGGAGTTGATACCCAAGGTTAGTAAAGATATTGTGAGGCTATCATTAATGGATTCTAGTCACTAGGCCCAGAGGGGCTACACACTAGGGTATTGAAAGACCTGGCACCTCTGATGGCTGAAACACTGTCAGTGGTCTTTGAAAACTTGAGGGGAATGGGAGAGGTGTCACAGGACTGGAGAAAGACAACTATTATTTTAATTTCCACACAAGAGAATGAAAGCAGTCTACAAACCATAGATTAGTGAGCCTGACTTTAATTTCTGTCAAAATTCTAGAATGCTTGTTAAAGAGATAGTTCATGAACCTCTGGAAAAGGGAGCAATGAACACAAATAGTGTTAGCGTAGTTTACATACCAAACTGATCTCGTTTTCCTTTTTTTGATAGGATCACTAGAGTGGCACATGCTGTCTGTACTTTAAGCAAAGCATGTGGAACTCATCATGTGCAGTTTGATAGGAGTAAAAGTAAAGTCTTATATTTGGGTTAACAACATCAGTTTCATCAGTACAAGATAAGGGAAGTATGGCGAGATAGTAGTTTATCAGAAGAAAAGGCCTTGAGATGGCCTGCAAGTTCCTTAGGAGTTAGGATTGCACCATGGCAATCCAAAAAGCTAATGCTGTGTTAGGCTGTGTAAGAGAGGAACAGTGGCCAGGGTTAGCCCATCTTTACCAGCAGGCATTACCCTCTTTTAGCAAAGAAATTTAGTTAAGTAGAACCATTGGAGTTTGGGCTGAATGAAAAGGGGTGAGGCAGAAAATAACAGCTCATGATTTTTGTTATTTCAGTAGTTCCTGTTTAAGAATAATTCTCCTGTCCTTGTTCCTAAAATTGATTTGAGATGTGACAGATTATGCCAAAGCAGCAGTCTGTTCAGTTTTGCATATTCAAAGGGAGTGCTGATTTTAATCCTCAGCAGAGTAGGTTCATTTAGGATTCCACTGAGGTCTGCCCTGATGGTTAAAGATGACAAGGAAGGAGAAAAACCAACCTCTTGAACTAACCAGCACTCTTCACTATGTGGGCATTGTGACTAATGAAACTTTAGAGTTGGATGAGACCTTAAAGGCCATTTAGGCCTTTATTTTATAGAAGAGGAGACAAAGGGCCGGGGATTTTTAAGTGTGACTGTGTTTTCTTCCTTTAGTTCAAAATATAACTTGCATCCCAGGAGTATTAGTATGTTTTCTCATTACTTATGTTCTCTTTAGTAAAATTTTTATTGTTTCTATGATTTGTTCTTTGCCCTCATTATTTAGGATGTCATTTTTAGTACCTACTAAAATCTGCCTCTTTTATTTCCTTTAATAATCAAAATATTTATCTAATTATGGTCTTTAAAGGAAGTGTTTAAAACTTCTGCTTTTCTGTGTTTATAAGTTTTGTGCCTTAGCATGTGATCAATTTTCATATATAGTAATTAGCATGGAGGTTTTATAATAGTTCTTACAACTACAGGAAGGGGTTGTATTTGTAATTGTTAAAGAGAGAATATTACAAAAGGCAAAATAAATTATTTTGCATAGACATAAGCTTTTGGCACAAATAAAATAAATGTAGTTTGGAAAAGAAATGCAGCTATACACAAAGCTGTGTGTCAGAAAAGAAAAATCTTGGCATAAAACTTTTTTGATAAAAATCTAACATCTAAAATCTATAAGCAATCATTACAGATCTTTTAAGATTGAGCCATTCCCCAGTAGATAAGTGGTCAGAGGATATGGAAAAATCTTAAAAGAAGAAACACAATTTATCAACAACTATTAAAAAGAATTTAGAATTGCTAGTAGAGAACCCAAATTTAAATCTAAAATAACCTTTATATCACTTTACACTCATCAAATTGGCAAAGATGGAAAAATCCATTGCTGACAGGGATGCAAGAAAATAGCCCTTGGTAAAGCTGTGAAAGAGATGAACCATTTTGGAAAACAGTTTGGAATTAAGCAAGGAAAGTTGGAAAAATTTTCATATGCTTTGATCCATTGATCTCATTATTGTACCTATACCCCAAGCTGACCTATATGTGTGACAATATTCCTAGCAATACCACATTATAAGGAGCTGTGAATATGAGGAATTCAAAAAAATAACAGAAGACTTGTACAAAGTGATGCCTAGTGGGCAAAGCAGAGCCAAAAAGATCCATGATGATTACAGTTATGTAAATGACAGTAAATTTGGATGACAAAACATCGTGACGATAAACATTGGAGAATACTGATGCTAACTTATAAAGCATACACTTTTGTTTTCACAAACAGAAAAGTATCAAAGTAATAAGGGTAGCTATGCTATCTATCATAGTTACATACCCTGATGTCTTATTTAACTGTTTCCAGGGATTGTACTTTGGGAGATTCAATTAAAAGAACATAAGGGGTTTATGTATTGAGACATCATTTATGAATTAAATTTAAAAACAAAGTATTTTGGAAGAGAAAAAGCTGGTTCCGTTGGGTAGGATTCTTCTATACCTTATATTTCTCCCAATAGGGAATGACTTACAGTGTTGAAATAACTCAAGAGGAGTTTGCATTTGTGAAATACAGCTCTTCTGGGGCTAATGCCGATAGACAGTCACAAATTTTCAGTCTTGAAAAGATGGAGCCAAAGTAGTAGATTATTAATGAGGCAGCAACCCAGCTAAACTCTCTCAACATTGCCCTCCAAACAACTTTAAAATAACATCTCACATTAAATTTTGGAGTGGCAGAGCCAACAAAAAGTTAAGATGAGACATTTTTCTGGCCTAAGAAAACCTAGGAAGTCTGCAGGAAAGGTCTAGGGTGGAGGCCTGTAAGCAGCTCACACTGTGGCTGCAATAGCGACTACAGTAACAGCAGCAGATTTGGGAGCTCTCAGTTCAGAGACAGGAAAGGGGTCAGACAACTGTTTAGAAAGAGATTACAGGGAACCCATTGCTGGCACTGGGTACAGCTGGCACTGATTGGCAACTCTATTACTCATACACAGTTCTGGGTCACAATTCCAGGGTGGAGAAGAGTGCTTGTGGTTGGTCATGAGGGAACAGGGGCTCTTTCTGGGTAAAGACCAGTGCGCAGACTATGAGAGCAATGACCACACCTCTGCCCAGATCATATCACCTTGGAAATACCAAAAATTTGCAGACCCCCCCAGAACTAGCTCTGAAAACAGCAGCATGAAAAAGCCTAAAGCTTGCGACAGTGCCTCCCCACCCTCAGGGGAGCAAAGCCCAACTTAAACATACAGTTCAAAGTCAAGGAATAGGCTGGAAAAATGAGCAAACAACAAAAAACGAACCTGACCATAAAAAGCTACTACAGTGACAGAGAAGACCAAGACCATTTGGAACCAGCCCCAAAAGGCTATAAAACTGTGTATGCCCTTTGACCCAGCAATACCACTATTAGGTCTGTGACCCCAAAGAGATCAAAGAAAAGGCAAAAGGACCTTTGTGTACAAAAACATTTATAGCAGCTCTTTTTATGGTGAATTGGAATTGGAATTGGAAATCAAGAGGATACTCAACCATTGGAGGGGTGGCTGAACAGGTTGTAGCATGATTGTGATGGAGTATTATTGTACTATAAGACATGACAAAGGTGATAGTTTCAGAAAAGCATGGCAAGACCTCTATGAACTGATGCAAAGTGAAGTGAGAACAACCAGTGGATCATTGGCACAGTAACAGCAATGTTGTAATGATGATCAATTATGAAAGACTTGGATACTGTGATCAATGCAGTGAACTAAAACAGTTCCAAAGGACTCATGGTGAAAAATGCTGTCTGCTTCCCGAGAGAGAACTGATGAACTGAGTGCAAATTAAATTATGATTTTCTCACTTAAAAAAAATTGGCTAATAAGGAAATATGTTTTGCATGATTTCACATATATAATTGATATCATATTGCTTGCCTTCTCAGTGTTCGGGGAGGGGTGGGAGAAGATCTGGAATTCAAAATTTAAAAAACAAAGAATTCTAAAAATAATAATAAATGCCAACCCTCTTCAGTCCCAGGGCCTTTCTGAGCTTCAGAAGTCCTTATTCTTTTCAATAATTTATATTAAAGTGAGGCATATGGTAGTGTTAATGAACTTTGGATACCACAAGAGCGTTTTTTTAGCACACATTTCTGCTTTTATGCATATATTCCTGGACGGTAGATTTGAAAGGCATACAATTTGGGAATCTTTTGGGCATTTGTATTTGGATTCTTGGAGAGGCATCTGTTGCTGGGAAAATAATAGTAAAATATCCTACTTATTCTTTCCAAGTTTAATAAGCAGCCAACAGCTCAAACTCCAGGAGCAGATGAATTTACTCCCCAGTTTCAGAAACGGACCCGTTCACGCTCCTTCAGTGGACTTATTAAGGTAGGTAGGTCTAACCACAGAGTTGTCAGCTTTACCCTAGGAGTTTTGGGTGGATATAAACCTTGTGCTGATCCTTTACCTATCTGTGAAATAATTTTCTGTTCTTTCAGTGTTCCTGCAAAAGGTGTATTTTTCCAGGATTGCTGGGATGGGCTTTGGGAAAACTTATTATGATAGGGATTTTGATGTATAATAACTATAAATTGAGAAGGGGGAATATCCCTGTAGGACTTTGGTGGTATCATTAAAGCAGTGAGGGTTGACACAGCCACAAACCAAGGGTGGTTCTCAGTCTTGACAGGTGTCAGTGACGTTTTCCACCAGCTTCCTTTGTGTCTGTGATTTTTTTGTCCAGTAATGGGAAATGTTTCTCTTTTCCTCTAACTTGCTCTTATGTTTTCACAAACTTGAAGTTTCTTAAGACTTAATCTTGGCGGTGGTTGTGATCAAGGGGCTTGCTGCATGTTAAATCCCTGTGGGAAGTTTTAGGATAGAGGTAGTAATAAAAATAAGAATAAGGAAGGATCAGGATTAGATCTGTGATTTCACTGGCACAGAGAACTGCCCTCTACCAAAGCAGGCTGGCAACTTCCCTGAAACAGTCTGAGAGAGCTGTCTAAAGCCCGGAGGGACTGTGACCATCCCCAGCGTCACAGAGATAGTGTGTATCAGAGGTGGAACTTTATCGGGTCTTCCTGGTCCTGAGGCTAGCTGTCTGTCAACTCCTCCATTCTGTCCCTCATTAGAAATGGACACGTCTCTTAAAGGGATAGTATATATTCCTGTCCCTAAATTTTGGAGTGCTGATACACCTATATCAGTCATATTTTTTGTTCTTGTATTGTGGTATTATTGTCATTCCTTATTTGTCTGCAAGCATCTTTTTAGAGGTTTTTTTTTTTCATCACTCAAATAGCTGAATCTTTAATTAAGATGTGCTACCACCAGGTGGTAGTAGATGCATTGGTCACAGAGCATGAATTTCCAGGCTTCAGAGACAGGATTAACTGAGAGAGAGATTCACATATTTTTCTACTTATTATCTTAAGGAGGGAAAAGCCTATTAAAATATACCTTATAGCAACACTTACAAAGTACTTCATTTAAAATGCAAATATTACTATAAAAGTTCTTTTGTACAAATTAGTACCCTTCTCACTAGATTACAACCTTTCCTGATCCTAGCCCAATGTAATTGTAATCAGTAAGCTAGTCCGATCAGAAGACATCTTTAGCCATCTTCAGGCTTTGTTCTGGCAGGTGGCTCTGGGGATTGTTGATGTTTAACATCTCCAGCCCATGTCTTCCTCAAACATTTACTGAACACCTATTCCACGCAGGCACTTGGCGTCAGAATTTTTCCCTTAGTGGCTAGGTCCTGTTGAGGCTTTTTGAATTAATTAAAAGAATGCCTATTAGTCTTCTTATAAATTAGAAAAATCCGCTCTTCTCTCTCTGTCCACGTGTGTAAGTGCAGGTGAGATGTGGAAACCAGTTAGAAGAGAGCGGTTTTCTGTAATGCTTAGGAAACCTGCCTCGTGGGTGTGTGGGGGTGTGTGTGTGTATAACACCTCCTTGCAGTGCAGCAACCTGCAGCTTTTACAAACTGCCTTGTGAACAGACTCGTTCTTCAAAACCATTTCCTTAGAACTGATTTCCAAGAGTGTGTATCTTGATGAGAACACAAGATTTTTAAAATGATCTTATCAAAGAAAGGTTATCATACATTCTAAATAGAGTAAGACCAATTTCTGGCACGAGTCCTAATGAGGGAGTCCTTTGGTTGTGACAAATACAGACATGTGTGATAGTTTTAACAAGTTGAGTTTTTTTTAGAAAGGTGCAGTGCCCACTTCCCCACCAGGGTTTCCACAAGCATTTTGGAATTGATTTATATAAGCTAGTTTAAATTGATCGTAAAGTTATATTTGTCTTACCCCTCTGCCCTTTAGACCTTTCCCTCCATTTTTAAGTTCTTCAGACCAAGTGGTCATTTGAATACTGAAATACTTCTTTTCATTTTTAGAGATTTGAACAATTCCTGACCTGGTGTGCAAGGTTTTATGCCAGGCTTCATGCAGAATTAGTTAGAAAGATAGGTTCTGGGCACCTGAGGAATGTATCTTAATATTATAGCTATGATGCCTTTTTTTCTTCTAACAGTATTTTTTTCTTCTTAAATTAGCGGAAAGTCCTGGGGAATCAGATAATAACGGAAAAGAAAAATAGGTGTTGTACTCCAGAATCTGTGGATATTGGTGAAATGAACAGATCCAGCAAAGAAAATGTGAACTTAGTAAGAAACCATTCTTGTCTTTTATGTTTATGGGAGATAACATAAAGAGAAGTAGGAACGTCTCGATGACTTTCTTGTTCTCCGTTTCATTCTGTCAATGGTCCTGTAAGCCATTAGCTTTGTTTCCATTTTCCCCACATAGTCCCTTTTGCTGAATCTCATCTCCTTGTGGGACTTGATTGTTTGCCTAGAACTACATGGCTCATGTCACTAATCATGTTCCATATTTAAACATTTGTATTTTGGTAGATTAGCAACTGAATATGTTAAAAGTGTCATGGGATATAAACTAATTCTAGTAATACTTAAATACCTTCACATTTGACCAATGTAAATAAATAGAACATTTGCTTTGATAGCAAAATCTGTCTACAGGAGTGACACTAGAACACCAGAGTCACTGTAAAATCTGTCTTGTGTTCCAGGTTTGTTTTGGATCTCCAGCACTGAAGGTGACACCAGCAAGGTTAAAATTATCTGAAGGCAAGAAAGAAGGGAGAAAAGGTACTGCATAGCTGGTGTGTCTTTTAACCTTTATTATTTTTTATAGGCATACACTTTTGCAGCTAGAAGCTGGCATCCACTCCCTTAATAACATTTTTTGAAAGAGAATGTGTATAGAATACTATAGAAGGTTTATAGGAGAAGAAGAGAAGTAAGCATGGCATAGTGGACAGAATCTTGGGTTTGGAATCAGGACAACCTGGATTCAAATCCTGTCACTGATTTTTCCTAGCTCTATGACCTCGGGCAAGTCAGGCAACTTCTCAGATCCTCCATTGGCTGATCTGTAAAATGGACATAATGATAATAACTGTAGTACATGGCTCATAAGGTTGTTGTAAAGCTTATATGAGATAATGGGTTCCAGTGCTTTGCAGACTTTAAATGTGCTGTGCAGAAGTTATTTTGAAACAGATCTAAGCTCTTAGAATTTGCAAGGTAGTTGGGGAGATTTGACTTATTTGAAAAGACTTAATACCTACAGAGTAATTCTTTTCAAAGAGAATGCTAGTGTAAATTGTCATAATGCAAACCAAGTAGATAAGTGCTGAGGGAAAGCACAGTAAAAGGAGTGATTACAGTCATCTGGGATGAATAAAATATCAAACATTTAACGTTTTTGGGAGCAGGCAGCAAATTCTATTTTAAGAGTTGTTACAACTGTTATAACTGTAGTCATTGTGGCTTACTAATTAAGTAACAGCCAGCTTCCTCTTCCTTCTGAGGGACATTTGAATTGTCATAATGTAAATCCTCATTCAAGTTGCTTTTGACCCAAACGAATGATAGGTTAGGAATTCTGTTTCTCATAGGCTATACAACTTTGTAATAGGTGGTGGTTGCTGTACTTTACTCTAAGGAAGATTGCATGGAACTTGGTCATTATGTAGTTATAATGTAGACTTGTCTCTAGATCGACAAAGTATTTTTGCTGAAACTTGAGGATAGTTGCTTGTGATGTTCTAGAGGAGGTGAACAAAAACAATATTTTTCTAGGTGAAACTTTTCATCTTTTTAGAGAGCTGAAATTCAGTTCAGTTCACAATTTCATTATCCTAGAATAGATCCTCTGCCAATCAGGTATATTCTGTCTTTACCCAACTGGCTCTTGGGTGGCCAGTAGGGCCTGTAAGCCAGAGGAGTATGAGGAATGAAGAGAGGAATCTCCAGGTCCTCAGAATGAGTTTATACATCACATTTCTCACCTAAATTGCCATGTTATTTTACCATTATTCTTGGTTTTTTTTTTGTTTTTTTTTTTTAGGCAGTTGGGCTTAAGTGACTTGCCCAGGGTCATACAGTAGTAAGTGTCAAGTGTTTGATCTGAGGCTGAATTTGAACTCAGGTCCTCTTGACTTCAAGGCCCGTGCTCTATCCACTGTGCCACCTAGCTGCCCCCATTATTCTTTTAAAATAAAATAAAATATTCACTGACCAGGTCTGTTTGCCTACATCCTTCATGCCTTCCTTCCTGTTAAAAGGAGAAAGTGTTCTTACTCAGGGCTGGTAGCCCCTCTGAGTCCTTGATCCCTACTTTCTTGCCTCTGTATCCCTTCAGTATTTCTCTCTTTTTATCATCTTCAGTCTTTCCTTTTCCACTGGCTTTTTTCCTCTCTTTCAAACATGTAAGGATGCCCCCTCATATAGAAGGATCTTCATTTGACCCTCAACATTTCAAGTCACAATTCTTTATATTTTCTTTTCATTGCCAAAGTTTTTGGATGACTCAATTTCTTCACTACCCACTCACCCTCAATTTCAGCATGGTTTCTGCTGTCATCACTGCTGAAAGTCTTGTCTTGAAGGTCACCAGTATTCTCTGAATTTTCAAATCCAGGGCTGTTCTCTGAGGCCTTGTTCTTCTTGACTTCTTGAACACTTAAAGGTATTGCTCAACCCTTCCTCCTTCAAACTTTTCCCTTAGCTACACTTTTTTTTTGTTTTTTTGTTTGTTTTTTTTTGGCTAGGCAATGGGGTTAAGTGACTTGCCTAGGGTCATACAGCTAGTAAGTATTATGTGTTTGAGGCCAGATTTGAACCCAGGTCCTCCTGACTTCAGGGCCGGTGCTCTATTCACTGCGCCACCTAGCTGCCCCCTTAGCTACACTTTTCTTGTTCTCCTTTCACAGTGACCGAAAATTCTCCTTTTCTTTTTAATGATAATGCTTTATGATTTCTTTCAACCCCTGCTTAAAGGCATACCCCAAAGTTTTGCCCTAGTCTTTCTGTTATTCTCTTTTTATATTTATTTTCTTTTAGAGATCTCCACTCCCATAATTTTTGTTTTTGAGGGTTTATTTTGTGGCCTGTGTCTTTGCTTGAACCTATTAATTATCTCAATTAGTATCTCTTCTGATTTCCTAGGATTTTCCAAGTAAACCATCATATCATCAGCAAATAGTGATATTTTTATCTCTTCTTTACCTGTCTTTACACCTTTAATTTCTTTCTCTTGTATTAATGCTTTTGCTACCATTTCCAGAATTATATCAAACAATAGTGGGGAAAGTGAGTATCCTTGTTTTACTCCTGTATTTAGTTAGAAAAAGTTCTAGTGTATCCCCATTGCATATGATACTTGCTTTTGGCTTTAGATAGATACTTTTTATGATATTAAGAAAAAGGCCCTCTATGCCTTTAGTTTATATATTTTTTTTAGCATAAATGAATCTTATTCTTTATCATAGGCTTGTTCTGTATCTCTTGAGATAACTGCATGGTTTTGGATGTTTTTGTTTTTAATGTGATTAATTATGTTGGTGGTTTTCTTAATGTTGAACTGTTTTTACATCTCTAGTGTACATTCAACTTGGTCAGAATGATTTCTTGAATTTAATAAATATTAGATTATTTTCTGAATCCAGAAAGTTCGTTGGATCATAGATTTAGAGCTGGAAGGGACTTTAGAGGTCAGTGGGCCCAACCCTTTATTTTATAGAGGAGGATCCTGAGAGAGGTGAGGCAACTTGCCCTTAGAAGGCCACTCAGGTAGGAAGGGTCAGGAGGATTTGAACCCAAGTCTTCAGACCCCAGAGTCACTACTTTTTTCACCATATCAAATCACAGAACTGACTTCCATAGCTTTTGTTAATGTTCAGTGACTGACAAGCCAAATCTCTAGGACTGACTTTTCACCTGAGTTCTACTGCTACATTTTCAACTGTCAGCTGGACATTTGGTTTGGCTGGTCTCCTTTTATCCTGAATTCAGCATTTCTAAAGCTGCATTCTTTTCTTCTTCATCACCTTTTCTTTTTCTATAAGTGGGGCCATCTTCTCCAAGTCACTCACACTCAAAGTTTTGAAGTTATAGATGAAAACTCCCTCCTCAGTCAAAGGATGGATAATGTTTTCCTGCTTTAATTCCTTGCCTTCAGTTCTCATTACCAACATACTAATTCAGGTCCTGGACTATTGCATTAAGCTTACCTTCCCAATCTGTCCTGTATGTAACCATCAAAATAAATTCTTGAAAATCTCACTTTAATCATGGCACTCCCCCAAGGGGAAAAAAGAAACCCCAAAACTTTTAATGTCACTTGATTACTTATAAAGTCTAAACTCTTTAGACTAGCATTCAAAGTCTGCTACAGTCTTGCCCGGTCTAAACTTCCCAACTTATCTTTCACTGTAATCCTACATAAGCCCTTCACTCTAACCAAACTGGGCTATTCAGCATCTTCTGAGTGCACCCTGTGTTTTCCCACCTTTGCTCCGAGTATTTCTCCTACCTGGAATGTCTTCCATCCCATCATCACCCATAGAGAAGGGTATGTGAGTGATGACTACAGATGAGACACCCTTTTGTCTGTTGATCCCTCACCCACCTTTCAGGATCCTCCTCAAATTCTAGTTTTACCTAATTAGACCCACAGAATCTCAGAGGTCATTCTCAAGGTAAAAGCAAGAAAGCACCTTCCCTCATGGAGGTTACATTTTGTTGTCATCTTGTCCAGCCTTTACTTGAATGGGAATCATCTTTACAATATTACTGACAAATGGTCATCCAGCTTCCAGATGAAGACTACTAGCAGTGGGGAGCTCAACACTATATGAATGGCATAGTTAAAAATTTTTTTAAAAAGAAAAGTAAAGAAGAGTCAGGAGAGATCTGGGTTCAAATCCTGTCTTTGACATTCAACTAGTTATGCAACTCTGGGCAAGTTGCTTAAAAGTCTTTTGAGTCTCAATTTCTTTATGTGAATGAGTTAGTAGTAAACACTTCATGAGTTGTTGTGAGGATCAAATAATGTACTTAAAGCCCTTTGTAAACTTTAAGTGCAGTATCAATGTCAGCTATTATCATAGGGCAACGTGTTCTACTTTTGGATAATTCTAATTATTAGGAAGAGTTTACCTCTGTTGTACCTCAGTCTGCCACTACAGCTTTCCCCCATTGTTTTGACTTTTCTGCATTCAATTAAAAAAAGTCTGATACATTTTCCAAAAGAGAGCTTTTCATTAATTAAAGATGGCAATCATGTTCACTCTCAATCTTCTCCAGTTTAAACATCCCCATTTTATTCAGCTGATCTTCCTGTGGCATGGTTTTAGTCTTTGTACCCTCATTGTTGCCCTCTTCTAGACACGTTCCAGTCTGTTGGGGCCCTTCCCAAAGTGTGGCGACCAGAGGTGGACCCAGCACTCTAAGCAGAATAGAGTAGTCAAGTTGAACTGCTGCCTCCCTTCTTCTGGGCGCTATTCTTCTGTTAACACAGCCTAAGACTGCATTAGCTTTTTGGCCGCTCTGCCACACTGTTGACTTATTTTGAACTAATATCCCACTCTTATCCCTAAACGTTTTCCCCATGTTGCCTAGCCATGCCTGCCATCCTCAGTTTCCTTATCTGTAAAATTCAAGTAGGGTACCAGATGATCCTTGGTCTAAAATTCAGTTATCATGCACTTACGCTTTTGTTTTTTTCAATCCAAATTTAGGACTTTAAATATTTGTAGTCAATGCCATCTTACTAGAGCTGACCTCTCTCACGTTAGCCCATCCAGAAGGTCTTTCTGACATGTTAGTTCTCTCCAAATCTCCGCTTCTTGTCCATAAGGATATTTATTTTAGTGGATCTGGGATCTCATCAATGTGGATATTCCCTCCAGCAGAGTGGATTGCAGTCCCTCATTGCCTTCTGCTATGTACCGATCTTCCCACGAATCTCTTGGGAGTCACCTTATTGAGCAGATATACCCGGAACCCACGATCTGGTTGTTAGATATTCTAGTCATATGTGATATCTAACATGCCCATAATGAGTTTAATCCTATCAAATCTTTGTGTAACTTAAAAGGTTCAATGTACTTCTTTGTCTTAATAGTTCTAGTTCAATTCATTTATTACCCACATATTGCATTTATCTACAAATATGAGACAATTACTTCTGTTCTGCTTGTATGTTGTCATTTTGTAGTTTTCTAAAATACAAGGCAATATATGATATTGTTCCATGTGAAATACAGTGTATCTCCCCAATTAGATTGAAAGGCAGGGGCTTTGTCTTATTCTTTGTATGTCTCCTGTATTTCAAGGGTCTGTGCTTTTGTTAGTGTAGATACTTCCTTCATCAATGCAGGCTATAGCCACTCTGACTTCTTAGCTATTTTCTGAGAATTGGTAGGGTGAAAAAAGTGTGACCAATCTGGTGATGAACTTTATCAAACTTAGTGAAGTTGGTCCTTGAACAGTGCATACACCCTTATACTAAGAAGTCCTCCAGAAAGTCATATGCTCATGCCGAGGTGGCCCTGAGTTCTCAAAGGCTGGGCCAGGGGAACACATGGTCTGACTGGTTCTACCAGGCCCAGCATTAAATTGAACCTTCGTTTGCTTGGTCAGGCTTCCAATAACTCGGGATCATGGCTGCATCAACGAGGCATGAGCAAATGCCTTTCTGGATGACTTCTTTGTCTAAGAGTGTATGGTATTAAATAAATAAACTGTCCTGGGTACTCAGTACCCAAGTCTTCCTCCAAGGGCGACTCATGGCACAGAGATGACTCTGGAGTTTTGGAAGCACGGCTTTGGATAGGTTCTACCAAGTTGGGAAGGCTTTGAATGTGGGCTTCGTGGCACGTTTTAAGTTTGAGAGGCTTATCGCCATGTTGGTTACAGGTTGGTGAACTTTTTGGCCACAGCTGCTCTTGAAGTTGACTACCAAGTGTGAGAGAAGTTTTAGTCTGTGTCAAGTGAGGGAGTTCATGCACCAGAAGACTGTCTCCTTGAAGGATTGAAGAGTGAATGTCTCTAGAGGTGGACAGTGACTTACCCAAGAGCACACAGACGGTGACCTTGATACAGATAGAATTTGAATCCAAGCTTCCTCTTCCCAAATCCAGCCCTCTGTGCTCTTTCTCCCACATTGGACTTCCTTTCCTGTGGGACATCTCCCTATGACCTAACATGCTGAGATCAGAACAAATGCAGGTGGTGAGGCTAGGTTGGAGAGAAAGAAGTCACTGGAGAAACTTTGCAAAGGTTTGCTGAAAGGGTCACTCAGAGGGAGAATCACAGGTGCATATTTCCTAACATTTACATATGGTTTTATTTTTACACGTTCATATGTTTAAACATATTGCATACTTGTTCAAGTTTATTAATTCTGTTATTCCTCTTTAAATCTAGGAATCCTGTAAAGGAAACCAGAATCCTCAGGCTTTCCAACCAGGAGTCTTCCATTTAGTGCAAGCTAAATGGGAGTCACCATATCTCCTTAAAGCATGGACTTGCAGCCTGCCTCCTGCAATTTGATTTTCAGAGCCAACTAATGCTACGACTTGATTGTTACCTCTAACTCTACTCACTGGATGATTATTTGGAAACTGTGCCTTATGAGAGAATATTGTAAACTTGTGGATGTTTTCAGTTTTTTATTATTTCAAAATATGGGGAAACCACTATCTAATAAACAGCTTACACAACAGGATGAATATTTGGAATAAAGTGGGCATGAGAGCTCGTGCAGTGTAGCAGCTCAGTAACTTCTTTTTTAGTCCAATATTTGTGTTCCTCTGTCACTATCTGTCTTTTCAAAATTGCCTCAAGCTTTCTTTGGCTATTGGCAGATTTATTTTTGTACTGATATTTTTGGCTTTTCTTTGTCTTAATACATTGTTTTCTGCTTGAAAATCCTTCATTTCCAATGAGCCATTTTTCAATATGTCATTTGACCCTCCACTTTTGTCTTCAGGAAGAATCCTCTTAGGATTGGGGAAACTGTGTAGTCTCTTGCTTTCATATCCCTTATTTCAATGTTTGTATCTTCATCTGAGACTGTTCAGGGATCTCTTTTTGGAATATTTTCTTGGGATCCAGAGATTGGAATGTGTGTCTCTGAATTAAAGCATGAAAAAACCAACAGTCTGCATAAACACTCTAGTATTTAACAGATATTTTGGTTATTTTGTGTTTTACCATTTAAATTATCACGTTCCCCCCCCTCATTTTTCCTTTTATCATTTACAATGACAAAACAGCGTGTTGTTGCCAAGCTTCTCTCCTCTTCAGTCAGTTGCCTCTTGTCTAAACACATGTCTCCGTTTCCTCTTTAGAACCTTTGCCCTTTACTGTTTCTGTGGCAAATATCTGGAAATCAGATCAGAAAAGTTGCTGACAACTCATAGGAGATCTGTTAAAATACATGTACCAATGGGCTGTATGCGGTAGAAGCTTTGTACTGTGAGTGGGATGGAGCCAGCTTGCCTGGTATTGAGAGTTGCTAGAGTCATATGGGGAGGTAGAAGTACCCAAGTTGTGTTTTCTCAGGGACATCTATACAGTCAAGTTCTCCTAGCTCCTGAGAGCAAGTTGGGGGTGTTGGGATGTCGCTCGGAATGATGGATTTGGTGAAATCTGTGGCTTATCTCCAATGCTGAAAGGAATGGTGTTAGGCTAATGTCATCGCTCCTCATTAGGGTGAGTGTGTGTGGTTCTTCAAAGATGGTGCCAGAGTGGAATGAGGTGGGTTGGTCAGTAGGAGGCTCCCATACACACAAAAACGTGTGTGTGTGTGTGTGTGTGTGTGTGTGTGTGTGTGTGTGGAGAGAAAGAGAGAGAGAGCAGTTATGGGCTATGCGTTGAACTTGCATAAATTATTAACAAAGCAAACATCTTTCTTAGAAACTTATGTCACGCTGCCTCTTTTGGTGTCAACATAGCTGAGTTTGAGGTTTTTCTTAAACTAGTAAAAAAGGCTGTTATCATTGAAATGAAAGTTTATCCTGATTGTTGGAGGACATACATATTGCATATGCAGCTTAAGTACCAGCCCACCCTTCCACCTTTCTGGTTTCTGGATCTCGATTTGGTTACTGTAATTTTAGAAGTGAAGGCAAGTAAGAAACAATAAGAACTCCCTGTCTGATAGAGCAGAAGCTTGGTTTGAATGAGGTGAGGGATGCCGTAAAATAAGACAGTGAGGGGTCATTCTCATTCAGAGAAAATTGAGGTTGTTTAAAAAGCTTCTCATAATCGACCAAATTACATATTTGGTGTCTAACATTTTTTCCCTATTTGAAAACAAACAAATAACCATCCTCCCTAGCTACATATCAGTGAATCCAAATGAGCCGGGTTATTTTTGCCACTTAATTAAAAGAGAATATGACTCCATGTTTGTTAGTTTTCTTTTTCTTCTTCTTCTTTTTAAACTTAATGTTTTCTTGGGCTAGAACAGAGAGAGCCTAGGCAATTGGTCTAACATCAGATTGGAAGGGGAAATGGACAGTCTGGCACCCTATGGTCTATGAGGAGATTAGTTATTTCTGGTGCTACCTGTGAGAAGTAATTGATATTATGGCATTAGTTGTTTGGGTGATGATTATTACCGGAGAGTGTTCCCAGGGTAACGTAAGAGTAATAATGCCTAACCACTCCCTTGGCCAATGTAACTTGTGTAACTTGTGAGGCATTTCCTGTATTATTAACTTATCATTTTCATTGTCCTAAGGGTATCATGGGTCATTTTGCTCACAAAAGTTAAAGTTCAGGTGTTATTTATAATTTGAGGGGTTAACCTCCTCCTGTGTGATACTAGACTGACCTAATAGTGGTGAAATCATAGGCAAAAAGGGGCTTAGCCTTTTATCATTTGCTCCGACACGACATCTCCCATTAGGAGCTGAGAAAGTCTATACTATATTGGAGCCAAAGTCTGTATTTGACACACCTTTTTTTTGGGAGGGGGAGATAATCTCTAAGTTATTAGATTTATGTGCTCTGCTATCTGTGTATTTCCAATGTTAAAATAGCTTTTTTGGACAGGCCTCTTGCCATTCTACATATTTTATTTCTTTTTAGGGTTAGTTAGAATGTTTTTTCATTTGATACCAATTCAAAGCATTATATTTATATGAAATGTGGAGTACTCTTATTGTTCTTTGAGAGAGTGATGATACTGATGGGATAAATAGAGAACCACTGGCACCAGCGTTTCTGACCTTTTTGATTCTATGTGGGACTGTTTCAGAAACACTGCAGCCATGAAAGTAAGGAAATACTTCTGTGTGTGGCCCCCACTGGGGAAGCAAGGGCCTGGTCTGACCTCTTGAAGCCTCCCTATAGTAGATGCTATACAAGAGAAGGAAGGCAGATTTGACAGTGTTTCCCTGGCTAAGAGTCAGTGTTCAAAAGAAAGCACTGGGAACTCTGATTGTAACAGGGCTGTGGCCATTGTCAGTCTTAGAGGTGAAGAGGCTCCTTCAGCCAGGTCAAAGTATTGGTCTTAATTGTAAGGTCATTCTCTTCTCCTGCCAATACTGACCCTAAATAAATATTTCTCCTTAATTTCTTCCGAAGGATTAGGACGCAGTTGAAAATAGGCTTTTCTGGTTGAATTTGGGATCATTTTGAATCGTGCTACAGGGTGATTGGCAACATGTAGTCGAGGAAGTCATCTTTGAAATGGACTCTTCTTTGTGCTTTCACATTCTGTGCCTCATTGTTACATCCTACATCATTCCACTTGTCCTCAGGGGGTCAGGGCAGGCTCCTAGGGAGCTGATTGCCTCAGTTGCAAGCATCCAGGTAGTGGCAAGTGCTGGGAAAAGTGAGATTAAGAATGATATAAGCCCCAAGGAAGGAGCTTGTCTCCCTTTATTTCCTCAGAAGAAATGTCCCCGATTAGAGCCTGAATTGATACTACCATATTGTCCAGTGCTAGGAAGATTTTCTTTTCCTGAGTTTCAGAGCATATGAGAATCTTTCTAAGCCAATGGTTTATTTGACTTTGCAATTAGTATAATCTAAACAGCTTTATAAAAAATATTCAGCATTTCCCGCCAGCTTAGATTGGCCTTTGAACAATATAGTGTTGATTGAAGGGCCAGTGAGTAGGTATAGCCCAGAATAGCCCAAGTGCTGAGTTGCCATAGAAACTGTGGTATATGAGACTACAGGCAGCACTAACGGCCATAGAGAACTAAAAAGAGTCACTGAATTCTGCCTCAAACCTGTTGGAAAGTGACACGTTGTAACCTGTCAGGATCCTTCATACACAGCAGGTTCTGCCTTTGCACGGTATGAGAGGTCCAGTAATAGATAGCTAAGGTTTCTGAAGAACAGACAAACAAAAAAACTTCTCTGTTTTTCAAAAAAAAATTTCATTCTCATTCTACTATATATGTAACTGTAAACAAGTATATGTAACATGGTCTCTGTAATTTCCTTTATTGTGTTTCTGTAATGTTCAAAGATTAAATTTTTTTGTTTGCTCTCTAAACACTTGACTGGCTTTTTTATTGCAACGTTCGTTTCTGCTGATTTGGTGAGGGGGAAGACATTTTGTTTTATGTCACGTGGGGCCTCACCAGGAGGCAGAGGTGAATGCATTGCTGTAGCTCGCTTATTGATTATAGGCTAGCAAGGTTCATTGGGAAATGGAGAATGGGAAGGAACTAACCTGTCCTTGGTAGGAGATAATGTTGATGATGAATTTTGTTTTCCTGTGGCTAGGACCTGATCACATATGTTCTTATAAGCACATTTGCACTGGTCCCTTTTCAATCACAGTCTTTATCTCTACCCTTTTTATAGACAATAGGACTCGTTAAGAAATGCATTCATAGCAGCAATGATAAAAGTATGTCATTTTTACCAACAAAACTTGAAATTCAGGTCATTGATGGCTCCATTTTTTTTTCAGTCTGCATTATCCTCAACCTAGAGCTCAAAAGAACTCTTGCCAATCTTCTCTCCTTTATTGTTCACTCAGACCTTTATCTCCTCTCACCTCACTCCCCAGAATGCTATGGAGAAGATCTCTGTCCTCTTATCTAGCCAGTCTACAGCGTCCCTTATTGAAGACCTGAAGATTTGGGTTCTTATGTAAGTTGGTCTTTGGCCTTCCTGGAGAGTCTGCTGAAGAGGAATCATGGTGTTGTGGGTTTGGAATCCTCTCCAAACCTGAGTTTTGAATTCCAACCCAACTGGGTGAAAACAGGAAAGTTGCAAATTCTCTGTGCCTTAGTTCAGTTTTCAAGGTTAACATCTGCACTGTTTAACGCAAAGGGTTGGTGTGAGTTAAGTGTTTTGTAAACTGTAAAGTGCCCTATCAACGTGAGATGTTAATAAAGAATACTTAAATGAGCAATAAGATAATAGCAAAAAAAATAGATGGGGGCAGGGAAGAAAAGAGTAAAGTGCTGGACACAGATCCGATGGTCCATTAATATCAGACGAATTAAAAGTCAGGTTTTTGTTGGAACAAAGAAATGAAAAGAGAAATGAAGAATGGGTGGAAAAAAGAGAGAAAAACCTGAAGATAATAGAAGAGCAATCCAGAAGAAAAAAGATGCAGAAGAAGTTTTTGACAACAATAGAACACATATTAAAAACTAGAAAATCTAATAAATAAGTGAGCCTTTTCAGAAAGATCAGGGTAAGCAAGGATGTTCACAGTCCTTACTATTATTTAATATAGTCCTAGGAGTGGCAGGAAGGCAAGAAAAATAAATCAAGGGAAGAAG